ATACATATATATACATATATATACATATATATACATATATATACAGACATTAAATTAACTGTGGAGAATTGTGTTTAAATGTCATGAAAATAATGTCACTTTTTTCTTTTTATTTTGGATTGAAATATGACCCAGGCATTTTGTGAGATTCTCCCATCCAAGCCATACTGAAAATCTAAATTAACATTCAGTTTACAAACAAGAGAAAAGACAACCCAGATAGTAAACATTGTAATAGTCAGCAGCAGTCATCAATCACGTTTAGTCATCATCATATGCTATCTGGAAACCCAGTCACACACAATACAAAAACAAAGCTCTATGCAAGCAAAAGTGACTCTTTTCCTGTGCAAATCACCAATACTATTGAACTGCAGTCCACTATTCCTCAAGAGCTTGAAGCTCATCCTCGCAGCTCAAACATTACGCCCTGGGCAGAATTCAACACCCCCCTCAGGCTCAGATACCCTACTGGATGAAGGGTGGGGAAAAGGTGAAAAGTCCAGGATGCAACCTGGAAACCATTGTCAAGAAAGATTGTACTTGTGTCTCATTACTCACATTGTTACGTGTAAGGCTTTGCTCATATGTTGAAGGAAGTAGTAGCAGAAGCACATCTCACGAGTTTTGTTTGCGTCTCAGACCAGGCATGAGCACATCTCTTACACACTCTTGTGCAATCAGAAAGAATTTCTAGTAAACAAAGTCCTAACACTTTAATTTCAAACTCAAGAATTCCACCACACATAACGACAACTAAACACCAGCACTAACACAATGCACGATGCTGAAAGGAGTAAAACAACAAATTACAGAGTAAAACACGCCTACATAATGAACAATGCCTTGTTCATCTCCATACCTCATCCCTACTGATCAGAAATACCAAAGACTGTGGCATGGATGCAACACATTTAAAATTAATAATGGTCCGATCTGTATGTGGAACACGTAGCAGCGGTTGGAAAGCAATGCATGAAAGCTGCCCCCAGGTGCTGAGCAGAATATGAGCACTGGCACCTCTGCGGGTTCACACAAAGTGCTATGCATCTAATTGCTGGAGTGTCCACTCACAGTCGCCGTGTTTCTCCACGGCATACTAATATACTCGCGGCTCCGCATGCGATGAGTGCCAGTCTGGCCTTGCATACTCCTGGTGTCTGTAGAGCTGATTAGGGGGGATTTTAGCCATTGCTGGAGAGCTGTGTAAACAGAAGAAACAGACTGCTGAGTGTTTGCAGACCAAATTATTGTTTAGATCTGCCGGCAATGGTCACAATGTCACTGTTTCAATCGAAGATGGTAGATCTGACGCACTGAATTAAGTAGGATTAGAAGGTTGAGAAAGGACTGCTATTGAGTTGAGTGTTTACTATTATTTAGGTTTTTGATATTTTGGTTTGGTTCAGTCACACATTATGACTGCCTATGTTTCCTTTGCAATTATTTTCTGCAAGTTCTTGTAACATATAATATTGTTGAACTACAAAAAGTGTCTTTCAAAAAATAGGCATGTACAGTATATACAATGCTCATGTTGTTCCAAACCTGTATGACTTTCCTTTATCTATCGAACACAAAAGATGATATTTTGAGAAATGTTTCATTCTTTTTGCCCATGCAATAAAAGTCAATGGGGTCCAAAACAACAATAATGTAAATGATGAAGGTCAGTAAACAACGACAGAATTTTCATTTTTGAGTGGACTACCCCTTTAAGGCACACAGATTAAATTTGTGTATTTATTTTGGTTAATTGGAAGGGAAATAAGAAAAAAAAAAGAATCCATATAAGCTGACAGATATTCCTTAGCCATGCCCTTCTCTTCTACAGACTGCTCTGGTAAGCAATTTTCTGATCTGTTATACAACCACACAACCGTTTAGGATCAGTTACCTTTTTATAATTATATTTTTTCAGTAAGGCACATTAAATTGTCCAAATGTGACAGTAAAGACATTTATAATGTTACAAAAGATTTCAATTTCAAATGTTGTTCTTTTGAACTTTCTATTCATCAAAGAAACCTGAAAAAAACGTAACTTTTAAAATATATACTGTATATATATATTTTTACTTTTAAATGTTGATAATGATTTCATGTGGACACAGAAAACACTGCTGAAAGAAGTTCAGCTTTGCTATCACATAAATACATTTAAAATATATGTCAAGATAGTAAATAGATATTTTAAACTATAAAAATATTTCAAAATATTTATTTTTACTGTTTTTTCATCAAATAAATGCAGCCTTGGTGAGCATAAACATACTTCTTTCAAAACCATTAAATTTTGTTATTTTATTAGGTTTTTATTTAAAAAAAAAATTTTTTAGGTTAGTTCTGGTCATGGTTTTTAGGATAACTGCTAGCCCTCAACCTGTTCATGTTGGCATATACCCAATTTGGACAGCTTCAGAAAGTAACCAATAATACATTCTCTCATTCACAAGAGTCCCCAAACTCTTAAGAAAATGATACTTGTGTTGATTTTGATATGTACTGTCCACTCATTTCAAGGCCTCATCTGGGCTTGGAGAAAGCTTCCATGTGATGTGACACTGTCCAATAGCT